GCAATACTCATTCTCCCTGCCCCACCATCAGGCAAAAGGCACTTCTTCTTGAGATGCTTGTCTTTGCCCTCCTGCCCACCCCATAGGGCAAAGCCCACCCCCCAGCGGCTCATGTTTCCTTGCACATATTGACAGGACCATCCTGAAGGAGCGTCTCCACCCCCATCGTTCTGCCCAGATGCTGAGGTCCAGCACTGAGGGCCTTCTGGCGGTTCCCTAATTGCAAGAAGCAAAGCTACAGGGAACCAGGCAGAGGGCCTTCTTGGTGGTGGCACTCGCCCTGTGGAACACCCTCCCACCAGATGTCAAGAGGTAACAACTACCTGACATTCAGAAGACATCTGAAGGCAGCCCTGTTCAGGGAAGTTTTTAATGTGTGACATTTTAGTGTATTTTTGGTCTTTGTTGGAAGTTGCCCAGAGTGGGCTGGGGAAACCCAGCCAGATGGGTGGGGTACAAATAATAAATTATTATTATTCCCATCACCACCTGGGCGGTTGGGTGTCTCCAATCACTAGGACCAAGGTGGTTGTGGTCTCCCTCAGGACACCAGAGCTGTTGAGATGTCATCCAGGCATGATGGGAATTTTGCACACTTGAACCTTTCGCCGTTGTGTGAGTCAGAAAACGGGCCCCTGCAGCACCCCGCAACCTGTGGCAGAGGCCAGGGAAGGGCACATCGTGTGAGCTGTGATCTCCAGCGGCGCTAGCACCAAGGCTCAGGGAGACATCTCCTGCAAGAGCTGGAGGTTCTCTCCCCACACCTGGAGCGCAGAAAGCAACTCCTGGCTCCAGTCAGCTGCTCCTTCCTTCCCTGCAGAACCGCCTGGTGGTGCAGTGGTTAAGAGTTCTGGACTAGGACCTGAGAGGTAAAGGGACCCCTGACCGTTAGGTCCAGTCACGGATGACTCTGGGGTTGCAGCACTCATCTGGCTTTACTGGCCAAGGGAGCCGGCGTACAGCTTCCGGGTCATGTGGCCAGCATGACTAAGCCACTTCTGGCGAACCAGAGCAGCGCACAGAAATGCCGTCTACCTTCCCGCTGGAGTGGTACCTATTTATCTACTTGCACTTTGAGATGCTTTCGAACTGCTAGGTTGGCAGGAGCAGGGACCGAGCAATGGGAGCTCACCCCGTCGCGGGGATTCGAACCGCCGACCTTCTGATCGGCAAGCCCTAGGCTCTGTGGTTTAACCCACAGCGCCACCCGTGTCCCTCCCATGACCTGAGAGACCAGGGTTTAGATCCCACACTCAGCCATCATGACTGGCTGTGGACCAGTCATTGCCTTTTCTCGGGCAGGCCTACCTCACAGGGGTGTTGTGAGGATAAAATGGGGAGAGGAAGAACCATGTGCACCGCCTTGAGCTCTCTGGAGCAACGGAAGCAAATGGTATATATATATATTCTAGGACTTGCCGATCAGAAGGTCGGCGGTTCGAATCCCCGCGATGGAGTGAGCTCCCGTTGCTCGGTCCCTGCTCCTGACAACATAGCCGTTCGAAAGCATGTATGCCAGCTCCCTCGGCCAGTAAAGCGAGATGAGCGCCGCAACCCCAGAGTCGGCCAAAACCTGGACCTAGTGGTCAGGGGTCCCTTTACCTTTACCTTATATATATGTATATGCATGTGTGTGTGTGTGTATTCCCCCAAGGGGGAAGGGGGTGGGCCTGGCGTGCTTCTCATACGTTACAAAGGGAGCCTGCAAATGAATGTAAGAGGGGTTTAGGGCAGAATCGCTAACACAGCTTTGGGAAGAAGCTCCCTCTCCGTGAAGGGCTGGGGAATAGCAGAGAGGAGGCTGCAAACTCTCAGGGGGCCCCCTCCTCCTTTTTCCTGCCAACCATAAACCCACCCAGGGGGTGTCCTGATTCCTTTGCATCTGGAGTGGAAGGAATCGCTTCGCAATCTCCCCAAATCACACACTCCTGAAGGACCATCCCTTCAGGAGGTGCGTCCCCACCCCAAAGCCCAGACTTCAGTCTCCCTGGATATGCCCCCCCACCCCCAGAAAACACCCCCACCCCCACTCCCAGGAACAAATTTCCTCAGACTGTGAATGCTCTATCTCTCTCCCATTCCAGACACAAAGCCCTCTTCCAACGGGAATCTAGCCGACCCCCCCCTTGGCAAAGAAGCCACAGCTGGGGGGGGAGAAGTGCTTTCCAATTCCTGGCAATGCACATGTGGGTCACGGCAACCCGCCCCCTCCGAGATAGGAGCAGGGGAGCCCTCTTCGCGGAGGAGAGCTGCACCCAAGGGGAAGGAACATGGGAGAAGAGCATTTATCAGGGAGAGGTGCCCCCTTTGCTGTGGGGTGCCCGTTTTGGGGAGGAGAGGCATCGTGGCATGCAGGAGGAGAGGGCACAACCTGTGCCACACACACACACAGCCACACACACACACAAAGTATCCCCTGCGCTCTCGGGCATCCAAGGGGCACCATCTTTGTGTCTCTCGCACACCCTTTCCCGGAGATACGCTGCCACCAGACCCCGCCGGCGGGCAGGACCCAGTGCCAGGAAGCCCCGCCATCACCTGGGGCCAGCTCCATGCCACTCCCATCATGCAGCCAGCCCTCTCCCTGCCCTCCCACCGCCGCCCCCCCCCAACCCACCGGGTCTTACCTTTGGCGCCCCGGAGGACGAAGCCAAAGCCCTCATGCTCTCTCTTCTGCAGGACGGCCGCCTTCTCCTCGATGATGTAGTCACTGGGCAGGAAAGAGCACAAGAAAATGAAGCCGGGGGGAGCCGTCAGCACCATCGCGCCCTGCCTTCGAGGGGGGGCCTCTTCCCAGCCAGGCGCTCATCGCAGGCAGGAGCCCGTCAGGCGGGGAGGCGGGCAGAGGCTCTCGCCCTCCCGCTCTCCCCGGGCAAAGGAGGCTCCTTCCTTCCCCTCCCTGCTTCGGAGGGGGGGGGCGCCGGGCCCTCCCCCCTCCCCGCCGCCCGCTCCCCCCACCCCCGCTCAGTCACCTGCATGTGGATGCAGAGCGCTTACTGATCCCGTGCGCGCGAGGGGGCTTTCCTTTCAACGGAGCCGCCTTAGCTGGGGGCGGGGGCGGGCAAGAAGCCACCCGTCGCAAAGAGACACACTCTTTCTCTCTCGCTCTCTCGCTCTCTCTCTCTCTCTCTCGCCCCCCCCCAGGAGGGGGACCCAAAGGGAGAGGGAGGGAAGGTGCCCAGCGGTTGCGTGTTCGTGTGCATGTGGGGTGCAGGGGGGGGGAGTGTGCACCGGGAGAGGGAGACTGTGGAGTTTCTTTTTGCTGTCACTCTCACCTTCTCCTAAAACTCCCCTCTGTTGCTAAGTAACTGTCTGTCATTTAAAAAAGAGAGAGGGGAGAGGGAAGGGGGGGGGTGAGGCAGAGCTGTGCTCCACTGCCTTGCTTTTAACAAAGCTGATGCTATTTCTCAATGGAAGAAAGAGAGGGAGGGAGGGAGGGAGAGAGAGAGAGAGAGAGAGAGAGAGAGGAAGGAGAGAGCGCAGGCAAATCCATCATTTTGGGGAAGGGGGCCAGTATGGTGGTTGGTGGTGGGGAGAGGGGAGAAGAAAGCCCCCCTGCCTGAGACAGAGCCCAGCGTGAAAGGCTGCTGTGCAAACCCTCCCTGGGCATTCACTGGGCATGGCAGAGGAGGTTGCCACGCGTGGCTCTCACACATGAGGTGTGCTGGCAGGTGCCATGCTTCCTCTCTCTCTCACTCACTCATGCATGCATGCACACTGCAGCAGAGACACACGCCCAACACCCACCCACGCTCTTGCACGCACCAGCCCCCCCTCTCTTTGCCTGCCAGGGTTCTCTGGAATCCACACTCAGCTCAGGCACACATCCTCGGGTGGAAGCACTGCTGCGGCTGGGACCTGCGTGCTGCTGCCCTCTCCAGGGCTGTGTGAGTGGCGCAGGGGTTCAAAGGGCCACCTGTGAACCAGGTGTGGGAAGGAGGTAGACAGACGGGGAAGGGTGGGAGAACTCCGAGCGGTTTGCAGTCAGCTGGCAGAAAGGGTTCCTGGGGAGCAGCGAGTGGCTTTTGACACCTAAAACTGGGCCACTGGGCCACAGGAAGCTAGCCGGGGGGAGGGGAGAGAACCCACTTTGGTGCTGAAAATGAATTTTGGGTCTCAGGATGTGCTCAGAGACACACCTCACCTTTTAATTCTAGCTCTAACGTTTTCAGCAGAGACATCACCTTGCCAACAAAGGTCCGTATAGTGAAAGCTATGGTTTTCCCAGTAGTGATGCATGAGTTTGACCAAACTATGAGAGGCAGTGGAAGACAGGAGTGCCTGGCGTGCTCTGGCCCAGGGGGTCATGAAGAGTCGGACACGACTAAACAACTAAGCAACTAAACGTTTTCAGCGCTTGGTTCTAAGTGGCAGATCTTGGAGTTCCAGTAAAAAAGCAAAGTAGACCTGACAAAGCCTGAAGCCTGCCAGTTTTTCCCCCACCCCCAGGGTAAAGTTTGTTTGTTTGGGTTGGGATGAGTCTCTGTGGAAGAAAACCCAGCCTCTGTGCTGTGGTCAGGGGGAAAAAGTTTATTCAAAACCCTGTTTATCAAGACAAGGCATTTTTGCTGGAGAAGACCCCCACCAGCCAGACACTCTTGAAGCCAATGGATAAGCTCTTCTGTCTAGAGACAGAACTTGCCAGCTTTTATAGGGATGAGAAAGTTATTGCAACGTGGTTAATAAGCGACCACAATAAATTAGCTTTGCAGGAAAAACACAGGAAAACAGAAATGCTGGTCAAAAAACCTCAGATATTCTATACTTCCACCAGTCTTTCTCCCATCTCCCTGCTGGCTCCTTTTTGCACTCTAAAAGGGGTAAGGTAAAGGTAAAGGACCCCTGGATGGTTAAGTCCAGTCAAAGGCGACTATGGGGTTGCAGCACTCATCTCGCTTTCAGGCCAAGGGAGATGGCGTTTGTCCACAGAAAGTTTTCCAGGTTATGTGGCCAGCAGGACTAAACCACTTCTGGTGCAACGGGACACTGTGATGGAAACCACAGCGGTACCTATTTATTTACTTCAGGGGTTAGCAACCTTTTTCAGCCATGGGCCGGTCCACCATCCCTCAGACCATGTGGTGGGCTGGACTATATATATATATATATATATATATATATATATATATATATATATTTTGGGGGGGGAATGAACGAATTCCTATGCCCCACAAATAACACAGAGATGCATTTGAAATAAAAGGATGCATTCTACTCATGTAAAAACATGCTGATTCCTGGACCGTCCGTGGGCTGGATTGAGAAGGTACTTGGGCTGCATCCAGCCCACGGGCCTTAGGTGGCCTACCCCCGATCTACTTGTACTGGCGTGCTTTCGAACTGCTAGGTTGGCAGGAGCTGGGACTGAGCAAAGGGAGCTCACCCCGTTGCTGGGATTTGAACTGCTGACCTTCTGATCAGCAAGCCCAAGAGGCTCAGTGGTTTAGACCACAGCACCACCCGTGTCCCTTCTAAAAGAGACAGGGCCTTAGGACAGGAACAAACTCGGGCCTATTGCAGCCCAAGGTCTTTGCAGACCCAAGACCTCTCCATTCTCCTTCCCCAGTCCTTGGTCAAGCCAGCAGTCACCTCCAAGCCTTGCAAGACTCCTAAGGGCGATCCATTCATTTCTCTTGTTTTCTTCAAATCTTTGGCCGTTGAGGCAACCTGATCAGAGGCTGACCAGATGCCCCATAGCAAAACCAGCAAGCAGGATTAGTGCACAAGACCCCTCTTCCCAACCTGTGGTTTCCAGCAACTGGTATTCAGAAGCATTGCTGCCTCTGATTGGGCTAGTAGCCATTGATAGCCCTCTCCTCCTCCAGGAATTTGCCTAATTCTCTTTCAAAGCCATCCAAGTTGGTGGCCATCACTGCCTCCTGTGGCAGGGAGTTCCACAGTTTAACTATGTGCTGCATAAAGAAAGGCTTTTTAAAATCTGTCCTGAATTTTCCAACATTCAGGTTCCCTGGATGATACTATTGGGATATTATTGGGAAAGCATAATGCTAAAGGTAAAGGTACCCCTGCCGGTACGGGCCAGTCTTGCCAGACTCTGGGGTTGTGCGCCCGTCTCACTCAAGAGGCCGGGGGCCAGCGCTGTCCGGAGACACTTATGGGTCACGTGGCCAGCGTGACATCGCTGCTCTGGCGAGCCAGCGCAGCACACGGAAATGCCGTTTACCTTCCCACTAGAAAGCGGTCCCTATTTATCTACTTGCACCGGGGGTGCTTTCGAACTGCTAGGTTGGCAGGCGCTGGGACCAAGCAACGGGAGCGCACCCCGCCGTGGGATTTGATGACACTCGAACTCAGGACGCAAGGGAGAAACGTGCTAAGAGGAAGGGACGCCCTCCCTGTGGAACGCCTTTCCATCAGATGTCAACGAAATAAACCACTATCTGACTTTTAGAAGACATCTGAAGGCAGGCCTATTTAGGGAAGTGTTTAACGACTTATGTTTAATGTATTTTTAACCTCCATATAGGCGGTGTACAAATAATAAATTATTATTATTAATATTAATATTAATATTATTCCCAAGGCAGTTAACAATAAAAAAGTAAGCACCTGTTCACCTTTTCCTATATCCCTACATCAGTGTTTCCCAACCGGTGTTCTGTGGCACACTAGTGTGCCGCGAGACGTTGCCTGGTGTGCTGCGGGAAAAATTAAAAAATTCGAAAGATATCCGGAGAGGCGGCCTTCAGGCGAGTTTTAATTTTAATTTTCCTTCTCCCACTTAATGCCCCACGCTCGCCCGAGCAGCTTGCAGTCCTCGGTAACCACGGCGACCCGAGGGAGGGGAGGGGACAGGGAAGTCGAGGGCGGCGGCGAGCCGCGATGACGTCAGTGGGCCGCGCCGCCTCGCCCTGGCACGGTGTGAGAGCCCCGGCTAGTGGCGCGAGCTTCGGAATAAGTGGGATCCGCGTGCGCGAGACCGAGATCGCGGGTAAGGAGCTCAGCCCTGGGCAGGAGGAAGCGGGGCCGCGCGTGCAGGCCACATCCCCACAGAGAGCGAGCCTCCCCCGGCCCACCACTCTGGGCAGGTCCACTCGCATGAGGGGGCGGCGATGGCCGGCAGCTTGCCTGCAATGCCATCCCTCGAGCAGGCGAGGAGCCCGGAGGCTACCAGATGCGAGTCTTCTTTCCCACCCTGCTCGGAGTCCAGAGCACTTGGTCGCATTCAGGATCTAGAGTGGGGAAGCGGGGCTTGTGTCTGGGCTGGACACATTGGGCTGCCTGTGCCGCTCGACCTGTGGGGAGAAATCAGGGTGGGAGTCACGACCGTGAGGCAGGGCTGCCAAGTGTGGCAGAAGAGGACACGGCCGTCGCACCTGTCCTTAGGTAGGAGCTTCTTCCGTGTCGACCTGCTGCCCTAAAGTCTTGGCTTTTTTCTTGGCTTTTTGGCAGTTGGCACAGAAGGAAGGCAAGGGGGAGGGGGAAAAATTGAAACTTACACTTTCGTGCGTCCCTCCCGGCGTGACGCTGCGCGCTGACGTCACGGGGCTGTAATGGTGGTGTGCCTCGAGATTTTTTTCATGAAACAAGTGTACCTTTGCCCCAAAAAAGTTGGGAAACACTGCCCTACATCACTACAGAGAGATGATCCGCATTAAGCTGTGAAGCTTGCATTGCAGGGGGGGTTGGGATGGATGACCTTTGGGGATCCCTCACAACTTTATATGATTCTATTACTTTCCCCCCCGC